GCAAGTGATAACCTAGGGGGGGGAAATTGCCCCCCCTTGCCCCCTGTAGCGACGCCATTGTTTTAAAAGGTATACTTTTCTCCTTGCACTGGGAGGCTCCAGAGCTCTCCTCTGATTTGCTTTGTTGGTGGGCCCTCACTGTTCTTATGTCCAATTCACGGCTATCCACTTCAGGGTATATAGTTAAAAGTTATTTTCCAGGTTTGGATAGAGTGGGGGAGTATTAGACCCCTTGTGAGGTTTAACCACTGTGAATTTTTCTGTTAGAGAGATTTCTCTTTACTTACTGTACCAGGGACAACCTTCTTATCAGACAGGAAGTAAAGGAAGCTCTCCAGCAGAAACACACAAAGACAAACAAGGGAATGCTAGAACACCTGTGAGTTTTATAGTTGTCTTTTTACCTGGTGCAGATTTTCCCTCACTTCCTGTCTAGTAAAACCTTGTCCACTGAATAGAAAGTGAGGACAAATCTCTCTAATGAAACCCCAGATAAAAGTATGTAACCTTCTTCACCTTATCCAAAAGTAAAAATAAACGTTTGATAGTTAAATTTTTGAGAATGTTCATAATGCGTTCATATCTTCTGCCGTTTTCTGTGACCTAAGGTAAAATATAGTTGACTGAGTCAGATTCCAGAGTTTTAACAAATATTTTCCCTGCTTAAGTACAACATGAACCCTAGAGAAATGTAAAAAATGTAGCAATGATACATCCAGTTTATTGTACGTGTTATTGTTTAGACAATGCATTGTTCACCAGTGATATGTTTACAGCACAGCCTAGTTGAGAAAAATATGAACCTTAACAATCTCTTATGCCTGCCCATACATGGTGATTTTCTCCAAGAAAGAATTAAATTACTTTCACTGACTTACGAATTTAGGCTAGTCAGTGATTTGCCTCCCTTGATGGCTGTGTGAAGTCTGATTGTGTCTCTGAATTCAGCCCACAAAGGTAGTTCCATGTAGATTTACAGTTATCTCACCTGGTAGGCCAAAGGCCTTCCATTAAATTGCTGGTTAGGCCTGTAACCCCCAACCTGTGAGTAACTGGAAGAAGGTCCTTGATGACCTCTTAGCTTTATTCTAATTGTGCCATTGGTTCCTGTCTCATGAAAAGTTTGAAAGATGCTAACTGGAAAAAACATACAGTACATGTAGACATAGGTTTTAGTTATGCTGTTAACTGCACGGGTTGATTTTCAAAACTCTATGCCAATTTTCTAGTATAGTAGATACGTTTTGACCTGTTGGTGGTCACAAAGCATCACAAAATACCATTATGCACATTACCTTTGCAGCTACTGATGAATTTGGCTTTTCCAGTAAGTCCCAGAGTTTTTTCCGTTTGTCTGGGCAGCACGTATTATCAAACTCTTCCCCTTCTCTCTCTCTTAGGGTCTCGGCTTCTCTTCTTAGCTCCTCATTCATCTGCTCTTTCTTTTGGTGATATCTGGCCTGACAGCATGATTCCAAATAGATTTCATCAATCCCCCAGAATTCAAGCTCTTGGCCAAATGACAATGCACACATCTCCTCCATCATGTGCAATTTCCCCGTCCTATAGAAATTTAAAATAGATGTAAAAGCTCCCGGATGGCGGTCAAAAAAATACTCATTCTCATTTAGGTTATAGTCATCGCAGACTTCCAGGAGAACTTCATGAGTGTTGCAGTCTCTTAGTTTTCCTAGTCTAGTCCTTGGCAGACGGTCTAAAGTCCTCCATAACACCTCATGATTTAGGCCTCCTACATTGATTTTCACTCTACGGGAACAAGCTTTGCTTCTGATTATCTCCACAGGTTCGGGTGGAAGAGACAGTGTTGATCTTGAAGACTTTCGGTTCAGCCCAGGCGGAGCTTTTTCTGCCATGTTGTGTATAACACAGGACTCAGTCAAACTTCTTGAAATAAATAATCATGGGAGATAATAATGAATTTTCACAAACTGCAAGAAGGTTTTCAGCAAGACCGTGACCCACTTCAATCTGCAATACACAGAAATTCAGGTTACTCTGACAATGTATCATGTGAATGAACCCAAAACAAATATTTATAGGAAATTGTATATAGGGCCTAAAAACACACTCACACGACTTCCAATTTTTGTACTTCACCTAAGTTTCTAGACAAAGAGTGATGTATAGGGGTTGATTTACTAACCTTATAAACATGCCACGAACAAGTATACACCTCTGTAGTGTGTTCCCTCCCAGCATGATCTATTGGTGGAATCTAGACACCTTTGTAGTGTATACACACCAAGCAGGTGTGTTGTGCAAAGCCCTGCATGAATTGCAAGGTGATGTTGTGTAAATTAGCTCTACGTTGTGTTGCTTGCGTTGATGAATGCAGGAATGTAAATGCATGAGCTAACCATTTTTGTCTAAACTGTGAAGCAGCATTATATATGCATCATGTGCATGATTTTTCCATATATGGCATTAGTGGAAATATGCTTTTAGAGACTTGCATGCCGCTATTAGAGCGGCGTGTAGCCTATGGCACATGCTACATGATGCGCACATACGTAAATACATAAAAACGCGCCATAACGGTGTGAAAATGTGACACGTTGCTCGTGTTTGGTTGATAAATACGTTTTGCTGTGTAAAAATGCACACGCACCTGGTGCGTGTCTGTGTTTAGGTTAGTAAATCACCCCCATAGTCTTTATAGAATTGTTGGGCTTATTAACATGTTAAAAGGTATTAACCTAATCAACCATACAGCAAACATCTTCAACAGATGAAACGTGAGCGCTAATTGGTTGCCGTGATTGCCATGTAATCCTTGCCGTTTGCACAGCTTTATTAAAGTCATTGAGTGGAATTTATCAAAACTTAAGCAGACAAAATCTGGAGCAGCCATGCTTGGCAACTAATCAGCTTCTCTATTTCATTTTCAAATCTTCAAACAAACTGAAGAGAGAAACTGATTGGTTGTCATGGGCAACTGCTCCACATGTTGTCTGCTCCAGTTTTGATAAATCCCCCCCATTGTGTCCACCGTTACATGACGTGTGGCTATTACTACCTACACATGAAGGACAATTAAGCTCCAGCAGTGCCAATGGTTTAGATTTCTCTTCATGAGCAGCCCTGTTCAAGACACAAATACAGATTGGGTTCAACACATTGCAGTTTAACAAAAAGTATTGCAGCTCTATATTCATAAACACATGATTTTTTTTTGCCAAATGGAAGTAATGTAAGAACCTGAATTTATCCTAGTATCAGCCTTTTGCAGTCCACTGTACAGCAGAACCCAGACTTCGGGAGGAAGAAGCACCACAGGGAGTTAATCAGCTGTACTGCCGTGTACCTGGTGAATGCTGGTACTGACAGAGAGATGCGCTTGTCAGTCTGCTGCTTTTCCTATCACTGTCCAGTCACTGCCTGGGGGTGGTGAAGAGATCTGTGAGTGCTACTGACCTGCAGCAGAGAAAAAAACATGTCCTCTACCTTGTCAGACAAGTGGTAAGGGTGTAAATTATCAGGACTAGAAGTAAAGAAATATATCTGTGTAGCTAACTGTTTGCTTGGCCTTGAGCTTTAAAGTGATATTAAAATCAAAAGGTTTTTAAGCTATTTCGTATGCTGATTACAATGGATATTGCTCCTTGATGTTTCACTGGCCCCTATATCCTGTTTGAGGGTGGCTTCTTTCTCTTGCAGGATCTTATGAAGTCACCCTTGTGTGTGCTAGTAAGTTGTGTGTGTCTCCGCAAACACACAGATGCAGTAGGGCAAACCATTTCCCTCACTCCTGCTCTGCTCTCCTGCTTCCTCCCACCTCCTTTCTCCCTTCTCCAGGCTAGTAAATGGACAGCTGCTGGAGACGGTTCTGTCTCTTGTGATCTTTTACTAGACAGGAAGTTCAGGGAAGCTGAGCTGAGAGAGTTGGAGACAGCTGTTTGGAAACATGATGACTGCAAGTGCTTGGGCAAAAATGTAAAATACTTTGCTGAACAATCTATACTTGTTTGATCGAAAATCATTATTGATAAAAAGATTGAGAGTTTAATATTACTTTAAACTGTAGTTGTAGTAAGGCTCAAACTGTGTGCTAGGTTGTAAACATTTATTGTTAATAATTTATAAGAATGCATTAGGATGTTAATATTAGAACAAGTCTACACTGAATGTAATTATGCTGATAACAGAAGAGGAAGATTACAGCGTTCTTTGATTAACAGTGATGTCTCTGGTTACATTAGTGAAATAATTCAACTCTTTTATCATATTTGTTATATTTTAATATAATTCATATATTTTACTTATACAGCAATAAAAATAATTGATTTAATACATACAAAATAAGTACATCTGTAGAATGTGTTATCCTGAATAAATTTTGCCTGAGTTTATTTAAATAACTGTAAACGGTTAGAATGGATTTTAAAAAAACCCAAAATGACCTCCTGACAACTTCATTTATCTGCAGGAGTCTATATGACATCAGCTTAGCCAGTATTCAATAAAACACGGCTTATCTTCAGCCTCTGTACCAGTTACATCAAAGAGAAAGAATAGGATGAAACAATAATCATCAGACAAACCTGTTCCTCAGTGGCATACTACATCACCGAATAGTCATATAGGATTCATGACAATGCTGCCTACCATTTCCTTAGGATGGATCCTGTTAGGTCATTGACTTATGATGCTTATGCAGGATAGGTATAATGTTTTTGTCAGATGTTTTCATTCTTTTTTTTAAAGGGTATGTATGGTCAGAAGATTAAAAAAACCATTTAGAGGGTTATTCACGAAGCTGCCGAAGGTAGCCGAGTGAATAACTGACCCAAAGTGAAGTGAGACAAGCGTTGTTCGGCTATTCACTTCAGGCTTGTACGGCTGATTTCAGACGTACATCGGCTTGCTTCAGCTGGCTTCGGAGCATGTTCGGCTGAGCCGAAGTGCAGAAGGAGTTCAGTGGGTGAATAGACGAATGGCGCCGGGCGACATTCGGCTCGGCTATTCTGCTCGGTACCTCCGTGGTACCGAGCAGAATAAAAAAACTGAAAAAAGTAGAAAAAAAATGTTTACAAAAGTAAATAAATTATAAATTTATAAAAAGAAAGATTTTTTTTAAAAAGAAACAAATTAAAGATTATTGAAAAAAGAAAAAAAAGAAACAATTGGAGCTAGCAGTGACAGCTAGCCCTGCCCAACTGTTTCCTATTGGCCGGGAGTCTTCCAGCAGGTCCTGACCAATGAATAACAATGCCAGGTTGTCATTGTTTAATGACAGTTCAGCATCCCCAGGTTACCTGGGGACGCTGATCTGTCATTGCAACTGGGCGGAGCCAGCCGTGAGATCACGGCTGGCTCTGCCCAGCTGTGAGTTGCAAGGTTTTTGGCCTGCCAACGACTACGGGTGCCACTTTAGCTCAGTCGAGCTGAAGCATATGCCTTCGACTCAGCTGAGGCGCTTGGCCAGCTTCTGAAATCTGTACGGGCTATAGTGAATAGCCCGTACAGCAGCCCTTCGGTTCTACTGAACCGAAGGGCTCTGGCGGCCGTAGGATCAGCCGGAGCTACGGCTGATCCTTCGGCTAGCTTTGTGAATAACCCTCTTATTTCTATATTGAATCAGTTCTATCCCACTCTTAATACCCATATTAATCTAGGAGTTTGTAAACGTACTTATTAACGGTGCCCATAGGATGCACTTCCTCAATGCACGAACACAATTTCATTCAGCCCTGTGAATATGTACTTTCTTGTGTCACCATCTCACATAGCCTGCCTTCTGAACTACAACTCAACGTGTGAACAATGTAACCTTATCATTGCTTACTGGAAGCATGATGGGATATGTAGTCTTGAGAAATCGAGATTGCATCACATCAAACAGCAGGGAACGGGATGCAAACCACACTGGGAATCCAGGAAGTTGATGAAAGTGATGGGCAGACAGAAGGCAGCTCTCGCTACATAAAAGGGATTTTTAAAAACTACACTTAATTGCATTCTCAAAAACAACCATAGGGGTCTATTCACGAAGCTGCGGAGGGCAGCCGAGGGAATGACCGATCTGAAGTGAAGTGAGCCGAACACTGTTCGGCTATTCACTTCAGGCTGGTACGGTTAATTTCAGCCGCACATCGGCTGAAATCAGCCGTACATCGGCTTGCTTCGTGTGGCCGACCCGAAGTGCAGAAGGAGTTCGACTCAGCCGATCCAACATCTGGATCGGCTGAGCCGAACCTCCGGCAGGCTACTCACTGCTGTTCGGGGGCTATTCTTAAAGATCCCGAACAGCAGTGAGTGAATAGCTGAATGCCGCCGAGCATCATCCGGCTCGACTGTTCTGCTCGGCCCCTCAGAGGGACCGAGCAGAACAGAAAAAGAGTGAAAAAAGTTAAAAAAGTAAATAGAAAACGATTGTGCGGAGCTAGCAGTGACAGCTGTTTCCTATTGTCCGGCGGCTCTGCTGCTGTCAAAAAAAAAAGAAAAGAAACTCTCCCGGGTGCTCTGGGAGTCTCCTGCTCCTGGCCGCCCAGGAGAGAAGCACTGATGTGTCTTTTTTTCTTTATTCTGACACGTGCGATCTCAGAATAGGAAAAAAAAAAAAGAATTTCCCATTGAAAAGCATTGGGACATTACTATTGGCTATTTTAATTTGCAATAGCCAATGGTAAACTAGCATTGTACCCGCCCTCTGCTGATGGACCTGATGGGGAACTGCAGCAGAGGGCGGGTACAATGCTAGTTTACTATTGGCTATTGCAAATTGAAATAGCCAATAGTAATGTCTTAATGCTTTTCAATGTGATTTTTTTTTTCTGACATCGTGTCAGAATAAAGAAAAAAAAGGACAAATCAGTGTTTCTCTCCTTGGCGGCCGGGAGCAGGAGACTCCCGGGGCGCCAGGGAGAGTTAGCTGTTTGGAGATCAGTGTCCCTGGTTAGCAGATAACCAGGGACGCTGATCTCACTGCAAGTGGCTGTAGCCAGCCGTAAGATCACGGCTGGCTCCGC